CTTCTGATTAAGTTTTCTTTTTATCAAAAAGTTACTAATTCATTTAAGTCTTCCCTTTAAAAACTATCAGTGAATATATTTATCTCTTTTTCCTTACTAGACAGGAAAACAATCTTTCACCTATGAATATGATCTGTACATTAAATGGTAAAAGAGTGGCAGATGTTTGGAGAGTTTAGTTGTTAGATATGAATTTGTGTTGACAAGCCAATAATTACTTCCAAGTTAATAGCCACAACAGTGAACTGCTCACTAATCTTCAGCTATTAGCGATCAGAATGTCACCTGGCACACTTAAGACTCAACTGAAAGATAAATAGCATGTAGCAGCTGAATGAAATAGCCAAAACTTTTACAAAGTAGAGTAGAACTGCACATTTTACCCTGTGAAGATCTATTCACTTCTAATCAGCACTTTATTCTACCTATTGCATTCAACTTATTGTCCCCTATTTTTTTTTTAAAGATTTTATTTATTTATCTTTAGAGGGGAAGGGAAAGAGAGAGGGAGAGAAACATCAATGTATGGTTGCCTCTCATGCGTCCCCTGTTGGGAACTGGCCAGCAACCCAGGCATGTGCCCTGACTGGGAATCGAACCGCAATTCTCTGGTTCACAGGCCTGCACTCAATCCATTGAGCTACACCAGCCAGGGCTATTGTCTCCTATTTTTAAGAAAGTAAAATGGATCCTAGAGGAAAGTTAACACCATGGTTCAATCCTTTATTGGTCTGGTTTCAAAAACTAACAAAATAAGGCAAATACTGGGTTGGCCAAAATGTTCATTTGTTTTTTCCTAAGATGGCTCTAGTAGCATTCAGTTGTTTGTAACTTCTTTGGAAACAATGTTGTTATATGGTATTGTGACAGCTGTCATATCAGCATGTATTTAAAAAAACATCAGAATTGGTGAATTTTTGTGTAGCCATTTTAATATTGAAGATGAAAGAAAATAAGCAATATTTTTGGCATATCAAGCTGTATTATTTCAAGAAAGATAATGCAAGCTGAAATGCAATAAAAAAATTTTGTGCAGTGTATGGAGAAGGTACTGTGATTGACTGAATGTGTCAAAAGTGATTTGTGAAGTTTCCTGCTGGAAATTTCTCACTCCACAGTCAGGTAGACCAGTTGAAATTGATAGTGATCAAATTGAGACACTGACAACAACCAACCTATGACTTCTAAGACTTTTAGAAGACTAAAAGTCTTCTCTTTTATAGAAAACACTGAATGGACTTTTGGCCACCCCAATAAAAGAAAACAATGAAAAGGCAGAGAAACCTCAATAGCAATGAAAGTAATGCAGCATTAAAAAATGTTTTAGGCCCTAACTGGTGTGACTCAGTTGGCTGGGCATCATTCCACAAAGCGTAAGTTCACCAGTTGGATTCCCAGTCACGGCACATGCCTGGGTTGCAGGCTTGGCTCGGTCAGGACACATACAAGAGATAATCAATCAATGTTTCTCACATTGATCTTTCTCTCCATCTCTTTCTTCCTCCTTTCCCCCCTCTCTAAAAATAAATAAATAAAATCTTTAAAAAACATTTTAGGTACCATACACAGCTATTAAATTGATAAACAAAAATTTAAAAATATTGTGGAGACACAGAATCATTAAGCTAATGGCACTGTAAATCAAAACTATCTTTTTTTTTTAAATCCTTTTGTACCCTTTTTTAAAAAAATTTTATTTATTTATCTTTAGAGGGGAAGGGAAGGAGAGAGCCAGAGAAACATCAATGTATGGTTGCCTTTCATGCGTCCCCTGCTGGGAATTGGCCTGCAGGGAACTGGCCTGCAACCCAGGAATGTGCCCTGACTGGGAATCGAACCGCGATTGTCTGGTTCGCAGGCCTGCGCTCAATTCACTGAGCTACACCAGCCAGGGCTTCAAAACTATCTTTCTTATAAGAACCATGGTAATATTTTTTTAAATATTTTATTTATTTACTTTTTGAGAGAGGGGAAGGGAAGGAGAAAGAGTAGGAGAGAAATGTATGGTTGCCTCTCATGTGTCCCCTGCTGGGAACTGCCCTGCAACCCAGGCATGTGCCCTGACTGGGAATCGAACCGCGATACTCTGGTTCACAGGCCCGCGCTCAATCCACTGAGCTACACCAGCCAGGGCTAGAACCATGGTAATATTAAATAGAGCTATCAAACTGCGTCTTGTCTTTGACCTAGTAATTTTATATTTAGGAATGTGCAAGTAATTCCTCCTTAATACACTCTAGCAAAGCTATTTATAATAGAAAAAAGCTGGGAGCAATCTAAATGCTCTACAAGCAAGAAATGGTTAAGCAACCCATAGTACAGTAATAGAATGGAATACTACATAGTCAAAAACCATTAAGAATATCCACTATTCAAATGTATGTACATGTAATATCAGCAAGCTAAAAGAAAAAAGCCACAGAATACAAAGTATTTATAAATGCTAATAAAGATCATCAATCAGAAGTCAGACAATATAAACAGAATTTCATGCTCACTAAATTTCTGTTTCTCTGCTACAAAATTGAGCATAAAATATTGTGAAAGGAAAAGATGACCAAATCTTCAGGGTTCTTTTGACTCTCTTTCAACATATACAGTGAGTTAGGTAAATTCAGGACATGAACTTCACAGTACATAGAGACTAAACTATATAACTACATTAATGCTGAAGATATACATCCCTGTTTCATCTCTATACTTATAAATATTTTATAATATCACAAAGATAATACTGTACTTTTCTCTGAGAAATGCATATAATAAGCATGTATTATTATCTCCATGTTACAGATTGAAAAACTGTAACATGGAGATAATAATACATGGAAACTATCAACAACTTGCCCAATTCTTCCAACTCTTGATTCTAGCATCTTCTGGAAATAATTATGCCCATTTCACAATTCCCATTTTTAGCTTTTAAAATACGTCCCTTCAGCTTTTCTGAATAGTGTAAACAAGACTATTTTCAACAAATATGGAATGGATGAAAAAATTATTAATACACTGACTGAAGCAATGAAATTTTAAACTGTTTACTGCTTAAACTGTTTATTCTTTGAGAGGCAAAGAGAACAAATATTGAAGTTCACCTCAGACTCTCTATACCAGTTAGTCAAACTGTAGAGAAAAAAAACTGCTAGAAGTATATCTTTCTTTCCATCAAAGAGTTGTTTCCATTGACCAAGATGTGAAAGCAACTGGCAACAGAGATGAAATCCAAACATTTCAGGAAAATAATGTGCCTTGCCTGTTTTATCTCTGTACTTTTGAAAATTAAAAATACAAAGGGCTCTGAAATTAGCCAGAAGTCAACCAAAAAGTAGCTACTTAAAGAAAGACCTGTTGAGAAAACAAAAATCATCTAAATGGCAGACCACCTGTAAATTTCACTTATAATCACTTTCATAAGTTCATATCAAATGTCACTTCCTCCTGTAGCTTTCCCTTAAGACTCCAATCCACAAATGTTCCTTCATTTCTGTTTTAGAGCACTTGGACATACATTTTCAAAAACATCAGATTTCAATAATCTGTTCATAAACATATGTCCTTTACTTTGAGGCTCCAGATACATTTGGAAGATACTATCTAGAAGCCCAAGATACATTTTTTTGTGACTGAGGCACTAGGAATACACTACATAAATTGCTATTAAATTTAATTCAAAGACAATATACTAGGTTTTAAAGGCTGATTCCTAAAATATTTAGTGGAAAAACCAGTGTGCTTGGGAAACTAGCTCTGCCTTTCAGTTGGAAGCACTATATTCTTTCAGTCAAAACTCTCAAAGTCAAAGCTTCCTGCATTACAAAGTGTGAGAGCTATGGTTTCACGTGCTTGACTTTAATAAACCTTAAAGATCCTCAGATGTTTTCAGACATCCAAGTTTTTAAACAGAAAATGTAAAATGCTATAAAAAACTTAATAGCTTCTTTAATTCCCTAAAATCAGCTCAATATTAACAGCTACGCTAAAGCTGGCAGTAATAAAATAAACACCAGCTTTTAAAAAAAATCAAAGTTAGTAAATAAACCTTACTTTACAGATTGTAAAAGTTTGCTAAATGATTATTTGGATCGTTAAATTTATTAATAGTTGCAAACATATCCTCAAGCCCAAAATGTTAAGTTTTACCAATTTAGAATAATTATGTACGTATATCATTATGCCTTATGCCAAATAATCTAAAAGGCGTTCACTTTTCTGTCTTTCTTGCTAGCAGTTACACTGAAAAACCTTGACAGTGATGGTCTTCAGAGACCATCACTTCCAAGGCTTGCTCTAGGAAGAAAATACCAGTTTCTCCTGTCCTCTGCTCCTTTTGAGTGTTTAAAACAATCTCGGTGAAACTAAATAATGGGATCTTATATATATATTTGTATATTAAAATTTTTTATACTTAAAAAAATAGAATTAACTGTTTCAACCATTACAGCCAAGTCTTTATTAATACAGTTTACGCAGTTCAGGGTGTTGTATTCCACAATTAAGGAACCAGCTGCTAATCATGGGCTTAAAATATCAAAGCTCTAGAAAGAACAAGCTCTCATCATCAACGAAGAGTTCTCGTAAAGTAGAATAAAACCGGAGGCAACGGAGCAAAAAGTTACTGGAAGACCTGGTTGTCCACTCCCTTGGAGTGCTTGACACTGGGCTGTGAGTGTACACTCTCACTCGTGAGACGTGCAGGCATCCAACTCGAGGGGAGCGTCATACATACATGGTCCTTGTTCCAGGAAACCGGAATACAGCAGCTGGTGCAATCTGGTCCGCCAGACGGGAGAAAAGGCTGAGGCCCAGAGTCCTCCAGAATTTAACCCCCTACAAGGGCCATTCCAGAGCCTCTGATCCACAGCCTGGACAAGCCGCCAAGCAACAGGAGATACTTGACCCCACCCGCTGCTACGCCCCTTTCCTCTCGAACCCCATCTCCCACGAAGAGGGAAGTTTCCCCTTCCGACAGTGCACCCGGAGGTCCAACAGGCCTCACTCACCTTGCATTCGTCGCTCCTCTTTTCTTCTTCGCAGAAGTTGACCGGAGCCAGGCCGGGCAAATAGAAAGCCGCGCCCAGACGCGGGCCCGGGGTTGACCCCAGCAGGAGTAGTGATAGGAGCAACAACCACGGCCACCGAGGTGGGGACGACAGCCTCCCGCTCATGATGGCCGTTTCAGGAAAAAGGGCAGACGAGTCGAAGGGGTGAAAAGGGAATGAGGGAAGGGAAAACTCAGAGATGACGACAAGGTCGCCCAAACTGAGTCCAGCACCTTGACGGACAGTTCAGGTCGCGCTAGAAGACGCAGCAGATCCCGCAACAGACACCGAACTGGACTTGGACAGAGCATGCGCAATGCCGCCTGCACATGCTCAGTGAGAGCGGTCGCCAGAACCCCTAAGTTTCCGGGAGGGAGCGTGGAGAAAATCCAGTTTCCAGGTTTTCAGCCAGCTGGCTTGATGGTTGCTGGGAGAGAGGTTTCGGTGTTCACATTCTCATTCCATGTTCGGATCTAGAGCTCCCTTGGGGCGCTGTGGAGCAGTCCCGCTTGTCTGGCACCCCCAGGCTCATTGCTTTGTCTCAATGTCTCTTAAACATCTTGAAGTTTGCTCACCTCTTTGTTCCCAGCGTGCCAACCTGTATGAAAGAGCTGTTGCTCTAGAGAGTACTTGCTGATGGAAGCCGAGTTGGTGGCAGGGAAAAGTTCGGGAAATATCTGTTTAGCAGCAGGATAAGAAAGTAAATGGGGAGGAACTAACTCTAAGTCCTCGCTCAAATAGCTACACAGAGGTGTCTGCACGGACAGATTCCAAGCATCCCTGCATAGGACAGTGATTGCACAGAATACACAAGACCTCTTGAAGAGGTCGAAAACCAGGAGCAAATAGAAGAAGCTACTGTTGACACTTTGCAAAGACATGGGCACATCCTACAGCTTAGCTTGGAAAGTCGTCCTAGCGAAACAAATCCGCTATGATTATCCCTACGTATCTGTCACTTTTCCCATTGAAGTGACGTGTTGTCTGTGTTTGTATGTGCATGTGTGTGTCCGTATGTAGGTCATTTTCTGAGTATTTTTCAAGGATAAATTTGGTTTTTGTGACATTAAATCAATTAATTTGAGCCTAGATAGTTCAACGAATGCTTCGGAAGAGTGCATCAACCTAACCACCGTATACCAAGGAATCTACACCAGGGAGCCAGCTCAGAATTGAAGAATGGGATAGTTTGATAAATGGACAATTCAGAAAAATGTACAGCCCCATGCATCACATCTAACTCATTGTGGGTGTCTGCACACACACACACCCAAAGTTGATGATATTCATTAAGTTTTCAAAGGGATCTAATGCCCTGCAAAGGTTAGAACAATTGTTTTACATTGTAGGGTAATTAGAACAATGAAAAATAAAATTCTTGCTTGTTAAAGGTAGTTTACTCTAAGAGCTCCAGCTTTGAAAAATTCTGAGATGCCCAAAATCAAACTACAGCAGGGTGGAAGGAAGAGAAGCTGAAACCAACAAGACTTATAATATTCCTAAATATATGTAGAAACTTGAATTAACTTCCAGGTGGCTATTTTCATACCCTACCACCAGGTACTTGCTATTCCAATACATCTTCCAGACTGTTGTCTACAACTAATCCAAAGAGCAGCCACTTCTTTATCACCTGTCCCAGAACTAGCCCTACTTCACCTTCTCCCACCCCCTTCATCTACAGCTAATGTAAATTCCTGCAAAAACAATTTAATCTTTCTTTTCCCCAACAGTTTTTATGAAAGAGCATTTTGCATCCCCGAACAACAGACATGTTTGTCTTCTTCACCTAGCCCTGCTGCTGGCGGTGGTTTAGACTGCATGCCCCAGGACCTGGTCCTTTATCTGGCTAGCATACTGATCAATAAACCCTCTTTCAGAAAAGTTTTCGGTGGGAAAAGTTTTTGATACCTTTCGATACCACTCTTCTGCTCAACGCATCGCATCCCACACTACCATTATTTGCAGTTAGTGTGGTTAATTCACTTGTTCACTCCCCATGTATATGTAAACTCCACGGAGTAAGGACCTTATCTCTATACCCCCAGAATCTATAGCAGCTTCTGGCACATAAAGGAGACAAGAGGGGCAAGTAACCGGAAAGCACTACAGGACTGCTAGCGCCAAAACACGGAAACTCCAGGTCAGAATTTAGAATCGAAGACTTCCAGCGCTGAAATGAAATCTCTTCCGTCTAGAGAGGAAAGAGGAGTGATTGACTGCTCGAAGCCATTCGACTATTCACTGAGGCTGAGCCCGCAGCAGCCTGGGAGTCCAGTTGGATTCCCAACCTTTTTGTCTTCAAACCCCGCCAGCTCTTCAATCTTCCGAGCTCAGGAAAAGCAAAACCCTGGACAAGTGGAGTCTTCCCCAAAGAATTGGTTTCCGGACTCCCGACACACACCGGGTCTAGGACTGCGTGGAACGCGCGCTCGGACGGCTGGACGTACAAAGCCGGCCCCTACCCTCTTCCTGGCTTCCGCCTACAGAGTTCAGACACGTCATCTCGAGCGGCCAGACTGGTGGGAGGAGCGAGGGACGTGCCGGAGACGGCACTACTGCGTACCTACGGGTCCGCGCCTCCAGGGAAACGCCTACCCCCCCCCGCCGACATTCCTTGGTTACCAGGCTCCCGGGTCTGAGCGATGGCTCAGGCGGCTCACTCCGAACCTCTCCCAGGGCACAAAATAAAATCTCCCTTTATTGTAGGTGCTTCCACCCTGGGTGCTGTCAAGTAGAAAGGCTGAACAGGGGTTCCAATTACAAACTAGGAAGAAATGAAGTTTTCCTTCCATCCCTCCCTAGACTGTGATGCCCCCTTTCTGAAAGTACTAATGCTTCTGACTACCTGTAAAACTTCAGGAATGTAGTTTATGTTGAGAAGAACTAATAACATGGAAAAATGTTTGAAATACATTGTTAATTGAAAAAAGGTATATAACAAAACAGCCTGCACATGCTGAGTTCACACTTGCTTTTTTAAAAAATCTATATACACTGTTAAGAGAATGAAAAGAAAACCTACACACCGGGATAAAATATTTGTAAATAACCTAGCTAACACAGGCGATTCACTATGAAAAGAACTCTCAAAACCCAATATTAAGAAAACAAACAACCCAATTAAATTATGGTGAAAGGCTTGTACACACACTTTACCAAAGAGGACATATGGACTGCAAATAAGTATAGATGTTCATCAACATTAGTCAATAGGAAAATGCACATTAAAACTTAAAAGTATACAAGTTAACAATGAATACCTATTATAATGGTGAAAATTAAATATTCTGACAGTATTAAAAAACTAACGAGGATGCAAGGCATCTGGAACTCTCATGTATTACTGTTGTGAATGAAAAATAGTACAGCTACTTTGGAAAATAATGTAACCATATCTTACAAAGTAAACATATATTTCCGATATGACCCAGTAATTCCACTCCAAGGTATTTAAATCCTAGAAAAATAAAACCTTATTTCACAAAAAAATTGTACACAAATACTAATAGCAACTGTGGAGGCTAAAAAATATTTTCTTCCACTTTCTAAGTTATCTAGCAGAGACAGATTAATAGGAGAAAATCAAATTTTAATACATGTGCATAGGGAATTCACATAAGCGTGAAAACTCCAAAAATAATAAGGCAGTCCTGGGTATACATGACATTTTGGAGTAAGAATAAAAGAAGGGGAATAGGGTATTCTATTTCAGAAGTAAGAATGGATTATTTACAGGTAGTTGAGGAAGAGTTAAACACACATGGCAGGCAAATTCTTCCTAGCCAACCAAGAAACAATGGAATACAGGGGATATCTAGCTAACAGGCCTCAACCTAAAACCCTCCTATCACCTTACTTAGCTGAAATTAGGCTAAGACAAACATTCTAAAATTCCTTTTTTAAAGTATATTTTATTGATTATGCTATTACAGTTATCCCATCTTTCCCTCTCTATTCTGCTCTGCCCTGCAGCCTCCTCCCACCAGCATTCCCCTCCCACTTAGTTCATGTCCATGGGCTGTACATGTAAGTTCTTTGACTTTTCCAATTCCTATACTATTCTTAACCTCCTCCTATTTTCTACCTACCAATTAAGCTTCTTATTCCCTGTACCTCCCCTACCACTCTCTGCTGATAACCCTCCATGTGATCTCCATTTCTGTGATTCTGTTCCTGTACTAGTTGTTTGCTTACTTTGTTTTTGTTTTTTTCAGGTTTGGTTGTTGATAGTTGACAGTTGTTACTTTACTGTTCATATTTTTCATCTTTTTCTTAGATAAGTCCCTTTATCATTTCTTATAATAAGGGCTTGATGAACCCCTTTAACTTGACTTTATCTGGGAAGCACTTTATCTCCTTTTCAATTCTGCTTTGCTGGACAGAGTAGTCTTGGATGTAGATCCTTGCTTTTCATGACTTTGAATACTTCTTTCCAGCCCCTTCCTTCCTGTAAGATTTCTTTGAGAAATCAGCTGACAGTCTTATGGGAACTCCTTTGTAGGCAACTGTCTTCTTTACTCTTGCTGCTTTTAAGATTCTCTCCTTATCTTTGATCTTGGGTAATGTTATTATGATGTGCCTTGGTGTGCACTTCCTTGGGTCCAACTTCTTTGGGACTCTCTGAGATTCCTAGTCTTTCTGGAAGTCTGTTTCCTCGGCCAGGTTGGAGTAGTTCTCCTTCATTATGTTTTCAAATAAGTTTTCAATTTCTTGCTCTTCTTCCTCTTCTTCTGGTACCCCCATGATTTGGATGTTGGAATGTTTAAAGTTGTCCTGGAGGTTCCTAAGCCTCACTTAATTGTTTTGAATTCTTGTTTCTTCATTTGCTCTGGTTGAATGTTTATTTCTTCCTTCTGCTGCAAACTGTTGATGTTAGTCCTGGTTTCATTCCAATCACTGTTGGTTCACTTAGCATTTTCCTTAATTTACTTGTCATTGCCTTCACTTTTTCCTCTATTTTTGAGACCATACTCAACCAATTCTGTGAGCATCCTAATTACCAGTGTTTTGAACTCTGCATCTGATAGCTTAGCTATCTCTTCATTGCTTAGTTGTATTTTTTCTGGAGTTCTGATTTTTTCTTTCATTCGGGCCATATTTTTTTTTTTGTCTTGGTGCACCTGTTACATAGTAAGGGATGGAGCCTTAGGACAGAACAACCCACATTGCTGCATTGTATTGCTGTATGCAGGCAGGGGTCAGAGGGAACAATCCCACTTGCTGGGCTATCGGCTGGCTTTTAGTCACTTTCTCTGCTACCCATAAGCAAATTGGGCCCTTCTGGTGCTTATTCCCAAGTGGGTGGGTTTTTGTATATTCTAGGACC